CAAAAGCAGTACCTGCACAAAAATCTTGATTTCTGGTTCAACACTTTTTGATTCTGATTCAAAATTCTCGGCATGTAGTCTACTTCTGAAAGCTTGAGCTTCTGCGAAGTAAGCACTGATTGGATACCGTACAATATCAAACTCATCCTCTCTTACAACCCCGGTGACGGATGCACAGTCTCTTTTGGCTTCTCTTGCCGGCAGTGCTTTCGCGAAAAAAGATAGCCGGTCGTTTGGGGTGACTGTGAAAGAGTGCCAGTGCAACTCGTTGCCCAAAAAGGGCCGCGAATTTGGGTTCATAAAAGTTTGTACGGTGTTCAGCATACCAACATAGTCTATGTGGGGAACTCGATATTGGAAGCTTTTCTGAACGCTGCCTTCAAAAGAAGGAACCTTTTTCACTTCTGAATAAATTCTTTGTAAATCCAAACAGCAATTATTTTCCTAGGAAAAACAGCAACCAGCCCCCTGTTTTATGTTGAAAGTTCAATTGAAAATGTAGAAAACCATGTGTGGCGGAAAACGACAGAGTCCAAAAAACGTTGGCAGAAAAGCGACACATCTGCCCCACCTTTGGGAAGCTTTTGCCTAAGCAGCATAGCGAGATGCTCATGAAGCGATCAAAAGCAGCAGCAGCAGCGGTACACGCACATGTATTCAAACGAGTTCCGTTATCTACCTACCTCGCGACCTCCTCTGTACTTTCCATGTGTATAGAATTATGGTTGCCACCTTCCGCGGTCGACGGTTTATTTTCAAAAAGTTCTTCGTTCCCGCACACTTCTGCAACTATCATTTGTTGCAAACGCATAAATTTGACCAATTTTGCTATTCAAAATAAATGCAATAAACAGATAAATAAGCCTATAAAACTCACGATATGTGATCAAGGCACTTCCACTATCGGTGTAAGCAGTAGTTTGCCCAAGCAGGTCTTCTGCCGTAAATTCAAAGCAGAACGCAGAATCCTCATGGGATAAGTCGTTTGGAACTAAGACATGGCCTTCTTTATCTACTAAGCTCGCGAGATACATGTGGATGGTTAGGTGTCACTAACCTGCCGAGGTGGAAGCCAATGTAAGCGGTTTTGATTTTGGATAGTTTTTAGGTACAGGTTCGCTGGAAGCTGATGGCAGGGTCGGATCTAAATTTATTGATGTGCTAATGCTGTTCCTCCATTAGATAACATTAAAACTGGTTTGCCAAGTCGTGAAAGTTTCGTAGAGCAAGTAGTGTAACTTCACATTACTAGAAGCCATAAAAACGTAAAACAGCAAAAACAGAATTTTATAAGAGCTTCGTGTGATTAATTAGATTGATATTACGTCGCCAAGATGGCATATAATGGGCATTAACTATCTTCATTTTATTCGGATTTCTCGTGTAACAATCTAAAAACCATAGATGTAAATTTTGGTTAGATTACACTATGGAAGGGAATTTGCTGATCCTTAGGAGTCGTAGTTAACAAAAACGTTAGCCTGCGAAAGTATCTGGTGTTTGACCGTTTGAATGCAATA